GGATTTTGGGATGAGTGGGATTTTGGGATTAGTGGGATTCTGGGGGGTCCTGTGCAAGGGCCAGAAGTTGGGATTTTGGGATGAGTGGGATTTTGGGATTAGTGGGATTCTGGGGGGTCCTGTGCAATGCCAGGAGTTGGGATTTTGGGATGAGTGGGATTCTGGGGGGTCCTTGCGGGGCCAGGAGTTGGGACTGGATGATCCAGTGGGATGAGTGGGATTTTGGGGGGTCCTGTGCAGGGCCAGGAGTTGGGATTTTGGGATGAGTGGGATCCTGTGCAGGGCCAGGGGTTGGACTGGATGATCCTGGTGGGTCCCTTCCCACTCAGGACATTCCACAATTCCAGAGACCAGGGAGTGTTTGAACAATGCTCTCAGGGATTTTGGGATGAGTGGGATTCCGGGGTGTCCTGTGCAAGGGCAGGGGTTGGACTTTGGTCCCTGTGGGTCCCTTCCCACTCAGGATATTCTGTAATTCCTTTTATCCCTTCCCTTTCCTTCTTTTCCCTCCCCTCTGTAACTGGAGCCAGTTTTTGCCATTTTTTCCCCATTTTTCCCCATTTCCAACTGGATTTTCGCTCTGGCATTCCCCCCCCTTCCTCCTCCTCACCTGGTTCTGCAGCTGCAAAGCCAAAGCTTTTTTCTCCTCAATTTGCCTCAACCTCTCCCGAGCTCGGGAGTCGTAGACGCTGGTCCTGGAAAAAGCACCTTTTTTTAGGAGGGAGGGGGGAAAAACATCCACCTTTTCCCTTCTCCCCAGAAAACACCGGAGCAGAAAACATGGCACTTACAGCTCTTTGATCCACAGCTCTGCCTGGAAGAAGGGGGGGCTGGAAAGAGGGGGGAAAAAAGGACAGATTTCAGTGTTTTCCCCGCGGAAAAGCCGAGTCGCGGCCGGAAAAGCGGGATTTGGGAGCAGCCACGGCAAAGTGGGGTCCCCCCGTGGAACCCTCGGGAAGCCACTCCCTTCTCCCTAAAAAAAAACCACCTTCCCTCTTTCCTCCAGGCCCCCATTCCCAAGGATCTCACCTCGGGGCTGGAGTTCTGGGATCCTTCACCTTGAGCAAAATGACGGAGTCGGAGCCTGAAGGGACGGAAAAGTGTCACAGGAGCTGGAATTTTCCTCCCCATTCCCAACTCCCACCGCTCCCAGCCACGGAGGAAAAACCTTTCCACGGGCATTTAAAACGTTAAGCCCCTTGGTCAGGTTTTTTGGAGGGGTTAATTTGGGGGTTTGGGTTGATTTTTACCTTCGGGCTGCGTGGTGGATGCTGGTGGAGGCTCATCCCGCTGCTGGGCCCTGGAATTCCTGGACTGGAAGATGCTGGAAGAGGGGTAAGTGGGGGCAAAGCAGGGGGAGGGTTTGGGCAGGGAATGTCCCCGGAGTGGGGGGCTGCTGGGGGGGTGGGAAGGGGCTGGGGCAGCTCGGGGGGCTTCAAAGGGCTTCGAGTCCTCGCCGGGCGTCTCCTTCACCAGGGCCTGGCTGGAATTGGAACACCTGGACCTAAAAAAAATCCAGCAGGAAAATCAGCTCCCAGCAGGAAAAGGAGCTCCCGGAAGGAAGAAGGGGCTCCTGGCAGGAAAAAGGGGCTCCCGGCAGGAAAAAGGGGTTCCTGGCAGGAAAAAGGGGCTCCCTGCAGGAAAAGGAGTTCCTGGCAGGAAAAAGGAGCTCCCGGTTGGAAAAGGGGGCTCCCGGCCGGAAAAGGAATTCCTGGCAGGAAAAAGGAGTTCCTGGCAGGAAAAGGGGGCTCCCGGCAGGAAAAAGGGGTTCTTGGGAGGAAAAAGGGGCTCCTGGCAGGAA